TTTTTAACTAGCCATTTTTGACATCATTCGAAAACTACTGTTGTCCTAAGATTAAAATTGGAAAGATATTTCACCTGTGATTATTTTTGTAAAGTTATGGGGGCTTAAAGATTGCCATATTGACCAATTTAGGACAATTAAAGTTCGATACATTTCGCGCTATTAACGCGTAAGCGAGATTAATCCGTCTAAGAAATCGTTCCAAATTGGTTCAAGGAAGATTATAAGCCATAATTGATTTGTTAATAGAAGCACAATCTCTCACTTTGATTTTAACATGGCGTGTAGGAGGATGTTATCACAAAAAAACTCAAATGTTTTAGAAACAAAAATTTTAATTTTTTTTATTACATTTAAATTTTTCATTTTATTACTGCTCCGTAGACCTTAAAAGGCAGTCAAAACATTCAAGGTTTCGCCCTGATAAGAGCAATCTTGTTTGGTTTTTGTTCCCCATTTGCTTCTAACTAAAGTACAAAGCTGTACAATGAAGAATTACTTGCAGCAATTCTAGGGAAAACGCCCTTAAATACGAACCTCTGTACAAATTAAAACTTTTGAATAGAGTTTTGTTATTTGAATAAAGTCCACATCAAAAAGCCAACTTTTTGATGTTCCGACCGATCAAAGAAAACTGAATTCATTGGGCTGAAATCATTTTTGTTTTTCTTTCAATAATGCATATGGTGAAAGACGCATAGAAATTAGCTGTCCAGTGAAAAACTACTTGTAGCAGTTCTAAGAAAAGCTCCCTTTAATGAATTCATCCTAAGAAGATTAAACCTCTCAAAACCTCTCGCATGATATTTGAACAAAATATACAGCAAAGAACCAACGTTCTAAGCAATGAGAGGTTATTCAAATTATTCGGACAGAAAATATATTTGTTTTCGGTTCCAAATTTGAATAGTATCTATAGTCCAAGTCTGGTTGAACAAAGCTCTCTAATAAGAAACACCTGTTGCAATTAAAGGAAAAGCGGTATGATACTTGAACTAAGTCTACATCAAAGAGTCAATCTTTTGGTTTTCCGTCCAATCATAGGGTATTAAACTCATTTGGGATGAAAAAGTATTTGTCTTTTTCTAATATTGTGCGTATAATCAGCTTCGCTTAGAAAAAAAATTGTTCAAAACAGGATTATCTTTAGGATCTCTAGAAGTTTGCGTCTAGCAAAAGAATCAGAGTATTACCAATGTTGAATCGAAAATTTTTTGAAAAATAGTTATCAGGTAGCTAGTAGCTGATTATTTTTTTTCACATTTATTTTCAATAATTTTTCTGAATAGGGGACGTGCTACTGTATACTTCGTACACTACGCTTATATAAGTAAATACTCTTTTTAATAGCTATTTAACGGCTAAACTCACGCTTAAAATATTTTCGTACTTACCGTAAATTGCTGGTGACTCGTTTTTGAACTTGATTTCTAAATTGTTCTGAAAAACAAAAGCATGCAGTTCTTTTTTAAGTTGAGGATAAATTTTGAACTTTTTCTGCTGCAGACCGAAATCATGCTTCACAGTTATTTATCACTTGACCTTGTTTGACGTGTTTTTGATGTCAGAAAAACAAAAATTTTCGAAGAACGTTTATGAATAATAAACATCTTTTACTTTTGACCAGTAAATCTCGAACCAAATGCTCGAGTAACAATAGCACTATGATAATACTATGATAACACTATGAATTAGTACCAAAAGTGAGAAACAAAACATATCAAAAGTATTTGGGGTTCGCTGAAAGCAGCAAAGTAAGTGTATGTGAATGGTGAATGATTGTCTTAGCTATCTAACGACCGAGCCTTGATTGAGTTTAAATTAATTGGGTCCAAATCATTTTAGTTGTATTCTAAATATAAAAGAGTTACTAATCAAAAACCATTTCAAATGGCTTTTTGTAAGTGTTTTTGTGGGCCAATTGTCAATTTTTTTAGTATGTTTTGCACTGGTATTAATGGCTGCTGCTGAAGTTTAAAGAGAAACTGAATGCTTGATTCAAGATAAAGCTTTGAACTCCAGTAATACTCTTTAAATTTTCCAAAAAAAATGAGTAACGAAAATTTGATTACCTGAAGAATTTATATATTAAACATTAGACACTTTTGTCCCATCAAAGAACACAGTTAGCAATTTATAAGCAATCTATTTATAATTTTTCATATCAAGGTAAAATTCGGCCTGTGTTTGATTGAGACCGACGTAAATTTTAATCAAAAGCAGGGGCAGATTTAGGAGGGGGTGGGGGCGGGGGGCGGACGCTTCTTTCCCTCAGGGATTCGACCCCCTGCCGACCCAAAGGGTCCCCCCTTTGGTTTTTTTCTAAGGAATCCGTTTTTGGCCGACCGACCCTAAAATGTTTTCTAAAGGCGCCTTTGGCGCCAATATATACTAAATTTTAGGGGGGAGCGCGCCCCGAAAAAACGCGATTTTTTGGTCAAAATTTTTCAAAAAGTGTCTAAAAACGCCTCTTTTGGACTTTATTTTCAAAATTTTGCCTGCGGCGCTAAAAATTGGGCCAAAACATGGACTAAACCGTGCTTAGGGAGAGCTCGAAAAATCAATTCAGTCGACCTAAAAAAAGGTCGACAAAATTTTCGAAAACTTTTTGAAAGTCCCCCCCCCCCTCGAGAAAATCCTAGATCCGCCCCTGATCAAAAGCATTAAAAACGTTAAATCTCTCCCCATACCCAATGTAAAGTACAAGTATTCTAATTTGCATCTACTGCCACATTTTTTCACCTCGCTTAGTTCAATTTCAAATGGATTCTAAATCCGTGTAAGTGGCCGCAATTGTTGCGTCTTAATGAGAATTTAGAATGTTTACCCGCTTTTTATATCCCGAATTGGATATATTGGCAATTGGAAGGTTCCAAACCTTCACAAACAATGATCACAGGTGAAATAGTTTTTTAACGTTTGAGCTCAAAGCATCGATGTTTTTCAGATAGTAGTGGTAATTTCAAAGTGGTAATTTCAAACGATGAAATTACCACTTTGAAATTACCACCCCCACCCCCCCCCCCCCCCCCCCCCACCTCACATAAAGATCAGTTTTATGGTCTAACGATAGGTTTGACGAGGTTAACTATGAGGACCAAATATGTTTTTCGTGGCCTAATTAGTCTGCATGCCTTTTTTGTAATGATCAGCCATTGTGAACAGAATATTTATTTAAAAAATACTCGCAGGTGGGGAGGGGGAGTAAAAAAAGCCCAATATGGAATTATTTTGAGTGCGGAAAGATTTGCAGCCTTTAAAAAAGTCGCAATTACGCGCTGAGCATCATTGAGAAATGCCAAAATGGCACGAAAATTAGTTAAAACTGTAATTTTCAAACCCCTCGAACTTAATAAAATGTCATTTGAATATACTACTAGCTCAAATTAGCCCGATCTGACCATCGGTAAACACCTCTAATTATAAACGAAAAGCAAGCAACCGGAAAAGTGGCTAGGATGACCGCTGTTTTTAACTAATGGTGGAGATATGTAATTGGGTGGGAAGGCTTGGGGAGCGGTGAAGTGGTTACGTCTCCGCCTCTTAACCGAAAGGTCGGGTGTTTGAGGCCCACCATGATGCGGGTGTTTGAGGCGCTCGTTGCTTGAGAGTTAGGCAACCTTACCCAGCCCAGAAAAACGACCAAAAAATTGCTTGTTGTTCTCAAGAAGGGACACATCAGCAGTTCGCCGTGATGAGCTGTATAGCTCGTATATTGGTGCTTTCCCTCGTGAATAAATGGTCTTGAATATGTGTGTGGGTGAGATGGATCTGAAATGCTATTTTCAGAAACTCAGCTGCAAACTGTTATTTCGATTACCGCAGACATTTATTATTTTGGAGTACGCTACTGTGAAACCTGCAAAGAAAACCTGGCTAGAAAATTTGAAGTGAGCAATTTGTGAAAAATGTGGCTGTACACTGCGAGGGTGGAAAGTCTCATTGGAAAAAGAGCTTTCACTGAAAGAAAAACTAGGTGCTTAAGGGGTCAAGGTTCAAGGTAAACCATGGCTGAGAATACTTTTTCCTTAATTTTGTTGGGAAAATTAACCTTTAATGTTATCTGATGTTGTATTTGAATATAATCACTGATGTTTTCATCCCAATATGATATCTTTTACCATGAAACTCAGATTTAAATTACTATCTACTCAGTCTAAAAACACATAATTAGCTATCAGACTTAGCTTGAGACAATTTTTTTTAGAAGGATGCGTGTTTTATGTCTTCTTGAACTTTTTTAATTGCTGGATTTTTGAAAAATTGAAAGTTTTTTGAAAGTTTAAAAATTTTGTCTGCTCGGTGAGTAATGTTAATTTTGACACAGTTGGCAATCATACATTCATAACTTTGGTACGCTTGGAAGCAATCATAATTTTGTCTGCACTGTAAATAATGATAATTTTTTCATGCTTGGAAGCAATATGGTGATTTTATCTCAGTGAATACGAAACCAAATTTGACGTCAACGATACCTCTGGGGATAAAACACCAGGAAACCCTTAATGTAGAAATTGGATGTTTTCCCATCAAATTAACAAAAATTATCCAAGCATAAGTTTCATCCACAAAATGTTAATTTGATAGAGCACTATCACATTTCTGGAGACATTATCAAGGACTCGTTTAGGAACCATCGACGGGCTCATTAAGGAAAAGGTCTAATGGGATTTGTTCTTAACTGCTGCTCACAAGCCAAGCAAAGCAGAAGCAGCGGAAAATATTGATTATACTCAAAAACTTTGGTTATTCCCGGTTATATTGGATAGCATTTCTAAGAAATGCTTGATATTCATATGTGACAAGATATAAAAAGTAAATCATAACCCAGACGGGCCAGAGTTTTCATTTGGTCGCGACAAAGTCTTATTATAAGCCGTATACCTTATTGCGCCAACATGAAGTCGCGTATCAAAAGGCGAAATGAAAATGATACATATCATCTTCGACAAAAGTCCCATGGCAGTTGCAGTCACTTTGATTGGTTTACCACTATCGTGCTTATTAAATTAAACAAGACTGCTCGTATCAGGGCGAGGCCCTGAATGTTCCGACTACCTTGTAAGGTCTATAGAGAAGTAATAACATGAAAAAATCAATGTAAAAAAATATATATTTTTTAATTTGATATTTTTGCTAAAATCATCCCCCCACACGCCATATAAAGTACAAAGTGATAAATTTCGCTCCTAGTAACACATCAATTATGGCAAATAAGCTTCCTTGAACTAATTTGGTACAATTTCTAAGACGGCTTAAATCTCCGCTTACATCGCGCGTTATATATCGCGCGTTAATTGTCCCAAATTGGCCAAAAAGGCAACCTTCAAACCCCCATAACTTTACGAAAAACGATCTTTTGTGACACATCGTTTCAAATTTAGGCGCAGGACAACAATGCTTTTTGAATGATGTAAAAAAATATCCGTCAAAAATGGCTAGTTAAAAAGTCGAAATTTGTCTGAAGAAAAAAAACCACCCCGAGCACAAATATTCCGCTACTTTCGTAACAAAAATCGGAACAAAAACAAACTGGATATCGTCATTTTCGTTGATAGTTCAATCGATGATATCCTAACAAACTTTGTCGCTTCAGTCGCGCCATTGTTTTCAGCTCACGACTTAATTTTTCATTCGCGTTGCTGTACTTAATGGTCGCGTTGCTGAATTATTGAAAAATCATTGTTAGAAATAAGTTCGGCTCTTTTCTACTCGCCCCCCCCCCACTTTTGAATTTCAGTTTTTAAAAATTAGTTTAACGTTGTCATAATGTAATGAAAATTTTTATTGTGAACAAACGAACTATTATGAATAGTTTTGTTATTTATATAATAGCCATAATCGTAAAACAACTAAAAGAAAGGAAAATTTGAAATGAGCCAAAAATTCGAAAGACGTTTCCAAACAAGTAAGGAAATGAAGTCACCTCACAACCGTCGTGAAATAAAAAATTTTCCTGCAATGATTAGAACAGTAAGCGTGATTATTCAATAATTAGTTTTTTTCTCCGCTACATAATAGTTAACTTAAAAAATACTTGCGGAAGAGTTCATTCATTCGTCGCACCATGTTCTTCTTCAAGTTCGAATACACTTAAGTTCAAAGTCAAAAACTTAAAAATAATGGCATTTTCAATGGGCTGCGGTTCAACCCCCTATCGCCCAAATGTTCCATTTTTGACAGTTAGTGAGAATTAAATTAATTATTACTTTAAATTCCAACGTAAGTTTAAATTAAAAAAATCACTGCCTCGACAGTAATCCTGAGCAAAATGTAAGAGCGGAAAATAAGACAAATAGATGCGGTTAGTTTTAAAAAACTTTGAAAAAGTTACAGTTCTTGCGCAAATTCAATTGAGAAAAAAACTTAAAAGACAACTTGAAATCGGCTCTCCATCCCCCTTCAATTATTTTCATTTAGGATTTGAAAACTAATTTTCTGTTTTTATAATGAAATGAAATTTTTGCATGGTGAACAAACTAACTATTGTGAACACATTTTTTCTGCATACCTTCCATCTTCACATCACGCATTCAGTCATAATAACACGTAAGACAACAAAGAAAAAGGAACGACTGAAATTCTCGGGGGAGGGAACAAATCCCTGAAATCTATTTCTTTTATCCAGAAAAAATTTCAGGATTGTTCAAAATCAGCCAATTTTTTCTTCTGTATTGTATTTAAGTTCACAGATGGAAGTGATTATGTTTTCGAACTTCTTTTTTTTTTACAATTTCATCAGTTCTCCACGCATTTCGTCAAAACTTTTTTGAATTCTTCGACTATGCTTAGGTCAAGTACATTGAAAACCATTCTATATTTTTCTGTTTGTTCTTTTATAGGTTCAAATCATCGTTAGAACAATATGCCATGTTTGAAAAGATGACTCGATTTTGAGGTTTTTAGTTTTTTGTCAGCTCCACCGATTTTTTTATATTCTGTTCAATTAACGGCTCAACGTTGTCATTTGCTTGAAACTTTCACGCAAAGTCAGTTGCAATCGAAAAGTAAGTCTTTTATAGGTAATCTGGTGATCAACCTGTTGTTAAATTTTTATCATGTTCTCACATCGGACGATAAGCTTTGAAAAAGTCCTTGGTACTGCTGTTGAACGTGATTTTTTGTACCATAATGTGCATTATTAGCGTTCTTGATGACTTTGGGTACATCATTTTATTTTTATGTAGTTGATAAGCAACAGCTATATTTTGCATCGAGAAAGTTTGTGAACAAATTGAGACAAGACTGTTCGTATCAGGGTGAAGCCCGGAATGTTCTGACTTCCTTTTGAAGTCTATGAGCAGTAATAAAATAAAGAAAAAGAAATGTAATAAAAAAACGTAATGACTGCCTTTTGAGGTCTATGGAGCAGTAATAAAATGAAGAAAATAAATGTAATAAAAAATCTCCGTCTAATCGTTAACAGCGCGAAATATATCGCGCGTTAGTTGTCCCAAATTGACCAAAAGGGCAATGTTTATACCCCAATAACTTTACAAAAATTGATCACATATGAAATATCTTTTTAAATTTAAAATTTAAGCTCAGGACAGCAATACCTGTTGAATGACATACAAAAAAGGACTAGTTAAAAAATCGAAATTTGTCTGAAGAAAAAAACCACGCCGAGCACAAATATTCCGTTACTTTCGTGACAAAAGTCGAAACACCAAGCAGTGTTAAGATGTGAACAAATTTCGAGATGCAATGCAAGCTAGTGTGTCTGGTATAAAACACATGTGAAAAAAATGAACAAAACAAACACATTTGAAAAATTTTCACACTAACACTCAATTTTTTTTCTAATTTGTTTGGCTTGATTATTATAATTGAGTGGTTGAGTAATTCAAATACTGGACTAGTGTTTAAATATTGCAAATTGGAATACTTTTTCAAATTTTGCACTAGTTTTTCAAATATGGCACGCAAACATACTAAACACGTGTGTTTTATGGCTTCATATAGGAGTCGTGCTCAGTTTTGGTAGGATAACTAATCCATTCTTTATAAATTGGTCCCTTGTTTTGATGCTTTTTTTCAAACTTTTTCTCCAAATCACTTTGCTTTTACTCAACTGAACAATTTTCTGAGCAGGAAAAAATTAAGTGAATCTAGCGTGTTAAATGAAAAAAATGTGCTAGCTTTTGATATATGTCAGTCAAAAATTTGGCGCTATCATTCAAATTTTGTAAACGTTCAAAAAAAAACTTGTTCACATTCTCATTTGTACACATTTTTTTGAAATCTCTCACATCATATATTTTTAGCGCATCATAAAATATTTGCGCTCAGAACGCTAGAAAACAGGCATTAATTGTCCTATGGCGATCTCCCAGACTGGGTTCTTTTAAAATGATTACTTTTAAATATATATATTTGAAAAAGTGTACCTATACTGGAAATATTTTATTATGATTATTATTTAATTCTATGAAGAGAGGACAATGACTTATGATTGTTAAATTTAATGTCATGGTTTTCCATTCAGTAGATAAAAAATGATCAAAACATGTACGTGTTTATTGGGTAACACTAATTGCCAAATTGGTCTAGACAAAACGACCGAAGCTGAAAGTAACATTTTCTAGTCACTTGTCGCTAGACATGCACAATTTTTCAAAAAAAAACGCCAAAATGGAGCTTTCTGACATTTTACGAGATGATCTGCTAAATAAAAATCCCTCCCACGAAAAATGTAGCACGCCTCTGCCGTTGCGCATTCAAATAATTCAAAAGCACTTAATTTGTGGTATCTTTTTAACTGACTTTGCACCTTCTGGTTTGAGCGGTTTTAGCATATTATATCATTTAGTATGGGATTTCTATCATAGAATTAACGACTTGGCCTCTTTTGTCTTCATACAAAAGACTCAATTTTGCAAATTCATTAATCGGTTTAGCTTATGCGTCAAATATAATCTGACATCCTAGGGCGAGATGGCGACGGAAATTGAAATTGAATAAACCTAGTTATATTAATGAAATTAGTCTAAAAATGAATCCTTTTCATCGCAGAGGCTCATTATGATTGCAATGATGGAAATTGGCAACCAGAAATTTGCGGAATTTGATGGTACGTTCTTTCTTGTCAAGACAATTCAAGTACTATCATTCAAAATTTCGCCGAAGACTAGCGATTTATGGTTCTCTCATATGCCAATTACAGATTTGGGCTCTTTTTCAAGGTGTCCCACTCTTTAACCCTACGATATTTAACCCCCTCTGCTTACACCCCCTATATCATAACCCCGTAACGTGATAACCCCACAACAATTTAACCCCCTTTTAATGACGATAATTTGTTTCAAATTAAGTCCTTTTTATAAGTACAGGAGTAGTCCAATTAAGCTTACTAATTGAGGCCTGAAAAGCTAGTCTTAATTCGCTTGATGCCTCTAGCATCTCAAAAGTAATTGCATTTCGATTAGTTAGAGGAATAATCCCTCACTCACGCGTTTAAAACAGAGATAACCTACATGGTGCTAATTGAACTTGAGTTAAATGGCGAACTTGAGTTAAATATTTGCTATTTAATCTATATTGCCAAGCAATAAAAATTTTTCCAAGTTTAATTATTTTCCTTGATTTTTCAAAATTGAGCTAGAGTCGATTTAAAACCGGCAAAATAATAAATACATACAAGGTGTTGACTTTTCTTTTCCCTCCGCCCAACCCTGTAAGGTTAACCCATTTATTGTACCCTTGGTATACCCGTTATCATTTTTACCCGAAATTCAACTTTTTTGGGAAAATTGGAAAATTTTTTGTGTCGCCAGGGATTTGATCCTTTGATCTCTAGATTTTGAGACTAACGCTTTAACCACTATACCATGAGGCCTTTGGTTGTCATCCGATTTATTCTTCCAAATTTGGCTCTTTGATCTTTAATTAAGCCCATGTTTGAGTTTACAAAGCGTAGATCAATTCTGTCGGCGCCAAAAGATCAAGGTCAAGAAATTCAAATGGTTTTGGACTGTTTTGTATATGCACCATTTTGAATCATGTCGGTCGGATTCGTTTTCAAGTTCATATCAAAGTCTAGACTATCGGCAAGGTCATTTCTTTTCAAATCTAAAATGCATTTAGCAGCGTGCATGTTAACTCATTTTGGTTCGCAAAATTTTTCGCAATTAAAGCTTTGATGTTTACCGACGATATGGTTCCGAGTCCTTTTCAAGTAACTTTCACTTTGATTCTAACAATTGGTTTTAAAAAGGGGTTAAGTTGTAGTGGGGTTATCTGATTTTGGGGTTATATGAGAGGGGGTTAAGAAAAAGGGGGTTAAAAAACACGGGGTGATAAGCGTGGGAACCCTTTTTCAAACTCCCCCTCCTCAAATATTGTACTTTTTTTATTGTTTCACGTGCTATTATGGCTAAACATTCGATGTCACGATATATAGTATAAACAACAATCTGCCAAAAAGTTGCATCTTTTAAAGTTTTTTGTCAAAATTCGTTAACTTTAAAACATGAAATCACAAATAAAACTGCTCAAATCTGATTTTTTTTAAATGAAAATTTCGCCAAAACATCGTTTGAGGAGTACGCGAGCAGTGATGCAGTTGTGGCTGATTTCAATTTTCCCACCCCCGATAAAACTACAAAACAAACTTGTTTAAAACTTGAAGTGCAAGGTTAGAATATATTTTCAAGAAATCTATCCATTTGATGAAGCTTACGCCTTTTTTGTAGCCTTGAACGTCAAAAATCTTTTTAATACACTTTAGTAATTCGAATTTGAAATAAAAATTATGGCTGGGACAGACAAAAGCCGCGGTTGTTACAAAAATGAAACGACCCAAAAAAAGCTTAAAAAGCTCTTTCTTATAACCTCATAATAGCATCAGTTTAATGAAGTTATGAAGAGTTTTACAAGTAAAGTATGACAAACAAATAGATTTACAATAACTTATATTAGTGAACATGCCAATTGTGATAGCAATGAGAATTTATGAATCAAAGTGTTCATATCAACAAAAGTGTCAAGTTAGTGAAATTAGGCGGGGAAGAACAAAAGTAATTCTTATTGTTCCTAATTTTCATAGACAAAAACCTCATTGAAAAATATATTCAGTTTTTCATTGTGAGGTTTATCCTGAGTACTCTTGAACAAAAGTGGAGAAGAAAAAACCTGAAACCAGAAACGCTAACTTGGAGGCAAGTAAATTGAATTCTGGAAAGCAGTCATAGCTAGACTGATTGGAGTAAGGATCCCTAAATAATGAGCACAAAACTAAGCGATAGCAACTTTACAACTACCTAATTCCCAATCAGAAATACTCTTCAATCACACTTCCATAAGTCCAAAACTTAAGACAGAACTATCAGCCACGTAGCATAGTGGCAATTTGTTCACTTCAGGGATTTCAGATTGTGTCATCGATCCCCTGTCATGGTAATGATTGTGTGCGAGGACGAGCTCGAACGTGACCTATAGCTTCTTGTCTACCACAATGTGGCAGATTTCGGCTGCAGTAGTGGTAACACGTGAAAAACTTTGACCTATAGCTTTATTCAGATTCCATAGTGTTTAAGCTCGAGGTGTCAATTAACAGTCATAAAATTGGGAACAAAAAATTAAATCGGCGCCGTTTCCCATTTTTTCAGCCAATTTTTGCTAATTCCTCCTTTCTTCATCAAATTGACCGTATAATTGAACGTTTTCTAAGAATTAAGCCAATATTGGCGTGTTCGCGGAATAACTCATGTTTTTTTTATATCAGCCGGTTTCTGCTCGACAGAAAAAAAAAGCTTTGGATACAAATATTTTGGAACTCTGAGGAGCAAAACAAAATCAGTATTGGTTGGCGTTCTGCCGAGAAAGAGTCAATTGGTCTGCCTGCATTTTCAACAGCCAAAATTTGCTTATATTCGTTGAATAAGCCGTCTTTTTAAGCAAAATTTTGCCTCAGATTATTGTTTCTTTTTTTCTTCGACAGAGACGTCTTTGAAAAATATATTCTGTTTTTTTTATTGTTTTCAGGAAGGTCTGTCCTTAACAATTTTTTCTTCTCCATATGAGGAACCGAATCCCACAAAACTGGCTGCCTTTTGGGGGCACAACCAAGTTTTTTCATAGATTTTAGAGGGAACAAACATGCTTTACTACATCTGCAAAACAAAACAAAAAACAACAACATACATATAAATCTAAATAAAGAGCAAAATTGTTTCACAGACAAAAAAATGAAATGATTAGAAACAGATGTCTTATAAATAATACAAAATTGTGCTTGATTGGTGAAGGTGACAGTTCAAGTTTCAAAACAAATTCAAATGCTCTGCTAACTTTTTTGATTTGAACTTTTTGGTTTTTCAAAACAAAATATAAACCGGCTACTCGATTTTAATCGAACAAAATACAGTATAATCGATTATTTTTTCAAAAAAAACTTTCTGAAGTTTTATTGAGATATAATCCATTTAATCGGTTATAAACCATTTTTATTCAACAAACGTCATCGCTTCATTTCAATTTTTGTTTTGTTTTTCAGTTGGTATCTTTTTTCAGTGTTTACTGTTTACTTTCTTACTGCTTACTGCTTACTGTTTACTGCTTACTGTTTACTGATTTCTTACTGATTTTACTGTGTTTTCATGCAGAATAGCTTAATTATAATCCATTGTAATTGATTTTTTTTGAAACAATTTTTTTTTTAGAAAAAGCAATTATAATCTATTATAATAGAGTATAATAGAGTATAAGAGATCATAATAGATTATAAGAGAATTTCGGAAAAATTATAATCAATTATAATTGATTATTATTTCTTAAAATGTCATCAAAAATGTTATTTTTATAATGGATTATAATTTTTTTGAACATCTAAAATCAGCGCTATAATTAGTTATAATTTTGCTTAAAGTACAATTATAATTATAAAAAAATTGATTTTTTTCTCTTTTTACTAAGTGCGGGAAATAAAACGTTTATATGTATAAAAGAACAAAACATTGAAACAATTTTTCGTTTTTTCATTGTTTCTTTAAATTGCGATCCCTCAAACAGCCTGTTTCGGCGTCAGATTAAGTATAAATACCATTAGAGACTTTAAATTGAAAAAATTGAAAAGCATTTTAAAGTTTAAGTGATTTCATCATCATCATATGAGCACCTTGCTTTCATGTAATCAATTAATTGTTCTCAGATTTTTATTGTATGTTCTTGTGTATTCATGGTCTCGTATTCTAGTTATGAAAGTCCCAAATTCCTTTCTAGTTACAAAAATCCCAAAAGTCCGAATTACGTAAGTCCAAAATTTCGCAACATTGATGTGTGTGAGTGGGTGTGGGGTGGGGGGGGGGGGAGATAGTTAGCGAGAGTTTTGAGATCCCATTCATGTTTCTAAAAACTATTAGTACGCGAGCAGTAAATTTCTTGCGTGTTACGCGCTAATTGTATGGTAAGTTTCTGCAAAGTTAAGCGGGCTTATCCAGTTCAATTAATTTGTACCAATCGTTTGAATTTATAACAAACCGCTTAATCTGCAAGCACAAAATAAAATTTGAACAAAAGGGAGGGTAGGGCGACAATTCGTAACTGGCGAAATTCGTAACAAGCGACATTTCGTAACAAGGCATTGGCAAGTGGAATACTTTTGCTTCGCTCCGCTTACATCCGTCACGAGAGGAATATTGCGCGTGAATCAGTGTTCCCCGCTTAATCGTTTGTTACGAATTGTCGCCTGATACGAATTGTCGCGTGTTCCGAATTGTCGCCTGTTACGAGCTGTTGTCTGCAACGAATTGTCGCTTGTTACGAATTGTCGCCTGTTACGAGCTGTTGTCTGCTATGAATTGTCGCCTGTTACGAGTTTTCGCCTGTTCTAAGTTGTCGCCCCACGCAAAAGGAGATATTATTAAACCCAGATACTTAATTCAAATAAAAAAACAATAAGCAAGGAAATTCAAAATCAATCAAAAATGAATTGGAAGAAAGCCAGCAGGAGTTTAAGCCAGCTACCATATAAAACAACCAAAGATCATAAGCAGATATGCAAAATAATTAAGCTAAAGTTATATATAAAGCATACAACAATTAGTCTCAGTAAAATTGACGTGATTTTTGCCAGATTTTTTATGCACTACGTTTCTTTTTCGGTGTTATTTTACACTTTTGTGGGTTTTTTCTTTCCTTTGAAAATTGACTTACCAAGAAGTCCAATGAGGAACTCGGTCATGTAGAGCGCAAAGAACAGGTAGCCAGACATTGCACTTGCACCAGTCCCTGTTCCCTCTCCCTTACCCTGGATCTTTCCCCCCGTGGCGACTGCAGTAGCGGACAGGTTGACATAACTGTAATTAGTCGCCATCTCCAGAAGCGACAAATTTTGAACAGCACTCGTCAACTTATTGGACATACTTGGAGTGTGTCACTTTCAGTCTCAGAAAAACTGAATCGACAAGATATGAAAATAAAGCGACTGCTGCAATTTTTATTAGGGTTTTTAAAATTGCAACTTCGATTGTTTGATATGAACGCACGTTTGTTCACGTCTCATCTGTATACTCTTTTTTATGGACTATAAGCCTTCCGAATTTTTTTAAGATTAAGTTCTGAAAGAATTAGATGAATAATTTAATGAGAGAAAGAAAAGTACTGAAAATTATGAACAAAAATTATCGACTAATTGGTTGGTACTTTAATTGGTACTTGGAGTTGAAGGAATTGTGAAAGGCGCAATAAAAAATTTTTAAAATCTAAAGAAATTTTTTGAAAACTGAAGAAATTGTGCAATTATTATTGATCGCAACAGGAAGCAGTTTTCTATAATTGAAGAACGCTGTTATATTATTGAGAAATATATTTTTACTAAGAAGTTATTACAAAGAAGAAAAATATTTCAAACAGGTTGTTCAAATAAGCTACAGTTTTGATACATTAGAAGCTATATGGTTTTTGAACCAATCAAAGGGAAAATTTTTCCGTGTTCATTCCTGCAAATGTTTGGAGTTGTAACGGAACGCAATGAAACATCTTAAAATTGGTAATTTGAAAAGAAAAATAGGCGGAAGACTTTGCTCCGATTGGCCATTACTAAATAAAAGAGCTTCACGTCAACTGTAATTTGCGTCACGCAAATATTCGCAGAAATAATGATTTCGTGTCATAAATTCTTATAACCTCCGAATTGCCATATTTTTTCAAATTCTTACAAAAGCACTTTTATTCTCTATTTTTCTTTCAAAAAATTCCTGGCTGAAGAATTAGCTTCCGTATCAAACGTCTGTCACCACAAAAAAGCAAACAAATTAAACCATAAAAAACCTTTTTTTCTCTTTTCCGATTATTTAATAATACTAATGGCGCGTCTATTTTCAGATTGACATTTGATAGAAAGTGACACACAAAGAAATCAGACCAGGAAAAAGTTTGAGCGCTTAGTTTCCTTAATTAGAAGTTCTTCAATTGAATTTTCCCGCTTAAGCATTTTTGAGTTTTTAGCATTTTTGAATTTTTAATTTATCCCAACTTATGTGCTCATTTCAAATCCCATTTAGTCTGATCTAGATGAATCTTTTCTCGAAAAAACAAAAAAAACGAAAAATATAGATTTTTTGGTCCTCGCTCTATGAGGCCTAAAAACAGGCTAGATGTTAAAGTCTTATGGCGCTATCTCAAATGATGTTTTTGTTAAACAATTCTTTATTTCTAAACTGGTTTGTGTAATGAGCTCGCTTGACCCAATTTATTATACTTATTGTTACAAACCTCGCTATTGGGCTATATAGGGCTGTTATTCAGGCTCGGGGAAGTCTGGAAACTTGCCAGTGGCGTCTCTGGTCTCTATGAACCATTCCCGGATGCTCTCCTGCAGAGTTTCCTTCATGTCCGGTCCCTCCACCTCTCGTATCTTCTGCTTCACAGAGATACGCGCATTCTAAAATCAGAAATTGTAATCATTTCAGCTCTAAAAAACAAGAAAAAAGCAATAATTAGCAATGAAGTATACGCAAGTTTGACTATAAGCTGGGATGAGCGTTACATTAAAGTTTTTTTTGCATTATGAGAAAAGGTGTTCTTCTGGTAAATCCTAGAAAGAAGTTTAATCATTTCAGATCCGCAAAACTGTCTTTGACACAGTATCGTCTCAATTGACTAATACTATGAATCAACGATATAAAATTGAAACATCATTTTTTTCGCACGAAAGAGTTGATGGTTGGTGTGTTACAACTAGCCTGGTACTCCTGTTCATTGGTCTCCTGGGTGGTCCTTCTCTTGTCCTCGTTCTTGAGGGAAGCATATTTTGCCGTGTTCTTGTAGGGAGGGGCGGGGGCTGGCACCATGTGAATGAACATCATCTCCTCCTCCCGCTCCTTTCTCACCCGCTTTCTGGCCGCAAACCCCTTCCACACCTAAAGAAAATGCAAGTAAAAGGTAACAAGACTGCTAGTATCAGCGCGATGACCTGAATGTTCCGATTGCCTTTTAAGGTCTATGGAGCAGCAAGAACACGAAAAATTTCAATGTAATAAAACAAAATTTAAATTATAAACAAGACTGCTCGTATCAGGGCGAAGCCCTGAAAGTTCCGACTGCCTTTTAAGGTTTATCGAGCAGTAGTAACAAAAAAAAATTAAATGTAATGAAATAAAATGAAAAAAAATTTCTAAAATTTGAATTTTTTTTTATGAAATCATCCACACGCCTTATAAGATTAAAAGAAAATATTTCGCTCATTGTAACAAATCAATTATGGCATATAAGCTTCTTTGAACCAATTTGGAACGATTTCAAGACGGATTAAACCTCCGCTTACGCGTTAATAGCGCGAAACATATCGAGCGTTAATTGTCCCAAATTGGTCAAAATGGCCAAAATGGCAATATTTAAACCCCCATAACTTTACAAAAAATGATCACAGGTGAAATATCTTTTCAAATTTAAACTTAGGACAACAATACCTTTTGAATGACATAAAAAATTTGTGTCAAAAATGGCTAGTTAAAAATACGAAATTTGTCTGAAGAAAAAAAAAACCCACCCCGAGCGCAAATATTCAGTCACTTTCGTATCGAAAGTCGGAACAAAAAGAGATTTTTTTTTGTAAAAACATCCCCCCACACGCTATATTAAGTACAAAGTGATAGATTTTGCTCCTATTAACAAGTCAGTTATGACACATAAGCTTCCTTGAATCAATTTCGAACGATTGCATTATGGAAAAAAAAACTTAGGCAGTCTTTGACTATATGACATTCATAGTAAAATTGGCCGATTTAAAAACATTTTTTTTTCTAGAAAATTTGTTAAAAAAACGATAGAAAAATGATATTTTTTTCGAGTTCTTGAAGTTTTTGATTCACAAAATCGAACAAAAAAAAACTCCAAAAACTAAGTTTACTCTTCGAGTAAACTAAGTTTCATGGCTTAAATTAAGGATATTTAGGCTACTTTGAGCATGCACGCTTACCTCATTAGCTCGAAATTAGACCTAGCCAGTTTTTCTCGACACTGAAAATTCTTTCAAAAATTTTACTGTAATTTGAATCTCAACTGAAAGGGCTTTAATATGGTATATCAATCAACTATTCCGATGATTATGTGTGGTACCTGTTTTTGCGAGGAAAACAAAAAGAAAAAAAACGAGAAAAACAAACAAAAAATTAACTAAAAACACACACGAATACAAACTTCATCCCCATTTTCAATGGTCGGCACTCATCAGTATAAATGAATTTTATGCAGCAATGACTAGTGTATTTGATTATCAAAGACAACACCGCGATGAAAAAACAAACGCAGACTAGTGTATTTGATGATCAAAGACAACACCGCGATGAAAAAACAAACGCAGGGTGTTCCCAACAAAAATTAGAAGCAGTCTTCTGGGTTACCGGCACAATAAAAAAAGGCACAAAAAAAATTTATAAAGAAATTAAAACAATCAGTTTTCAAATAAGGTTAGCACTAATATTGGAACTAAAACTATTTGGTGGTTTACTAAGAAAAAATGCTATTTAAAATTTTTCTTTTTGTATTTATCTGTGTATGTACCCCTGTATGTATCTATGTGTATATAAAGTATATCTGAACATCTTCAAACCTACCTACATCTATGAAGAGTCTATTGAAGCAACGAAGAACTTTACAAAGTAAATTATGAAAAATAAATCAATTTACAATAACCTAAAGTAGTCAACATGCCAGTTTTGATAGCAATCAGATTTTACCTGCAAACTTATCAATAATAATACCAGGTTGGTGAAAGTAGGCCGGGGAAAACAAAAATAAGTTGGGAAAAGAAAAAAAAAACGAAAATAAGTATATTGGAGTGGAAAAAAATGGAGTCCGAAACGTATGCATAGCTAGAAAAATTGAAGCAAGGAGCACCAAAAAAGGATAAAAGTCTAAGTGATCGCACCTTTTCCATCCACAAATTTCTCAGTCAGAAATACTTTTCGATCACAAGTCCAATAGTCCAATATTTAAAAAAAGTACTAATCAGTCGATATTCAAATTAAAACTATAGGCACTCAGCGTAGTGGTAAGGCGTTCACTTCTGAAGCGTCAGATTGTGTAACCGATCCTCAGCCATGTCAATTATAGTGTCCGAGTACAAGCCCTCACGTCATCTCCAGCTTCTTGTCTACCACAAGCTGACAGATTTGCGCTGCGTTAGTGTATCACGGGAAAGTTCTAGACGCTAAGAAACGCGACGCTGAGTCGCAAAAACGACATAGATCCTGTGCGAATTGCAGAAACTTCAACTAGAAAAAATTTAAATTTAAAAAAATAAACGTTGCTTAGATACAGTTTTATTAAGTATCATTTTGAACTTGACTTCAGCATTTACAATGCGCAAACCCAAGTTGTCAATCAAGAATCATAAAATTGCAAACAAAAGTTTAACGGGTGCCGTTTCCCACTTTTTCTACCCATTTTTTTGCTTATTCCTCCTTTCTTCATTAAATTTCCCAAAAATATTGGCCTTTTTTATTATGTAAACCAATGTTATTTTTTCATTTTTATCAGCTCGTTTATGTTCGATAGAAATAATATTTTGGATGCAAATATTCTATAAGTCATAGATGGAAAAACAGTATCAATATTGATTCTGCTATATGTCGAAAAAAAATCACCTGGTCTTCCTTCATTTTTAACAGCCAAACTTAATAGTATTTGTTGAAAAAGTCATCTCTTTTAGCTGAATTTTGCCTAAAATTATTATTCTAACTTTCATTGACAAAAACTTCATTGGAAAACAACCATTGTTTTCATTGTTTTCAGTAAAATTTGTCTTGGTTATATTTTTTTCTTCTTGTTGTCATATGAGAAGCCGAATTTCTTAAAAACGGCTACATTTCAAGACGATACCGAGCATTTTGATAGTGTTTAGTTTGATTTCCATGCTTTGTAAAACGAAACGAAAAAACTGTCATCGGAAGATGATATTGACTTTTGTCCACGTAATTCGGTGAATGAAAATAGTCGTGTTATGTTGAATGAAAATAACTTAAAAACTATCTCAAGAATCAGGCTAAGAACTTAGGTTGAGTTATGTTGCCAGGACACAGTATGCAAAACATTTAATAGACAACCGTCGAAACGACACACGTAAAATTATCCCAAAAAAGAAGTGGAACTATTGCAATGTCAATTTCTGGGATCGTTGGATTGTCAAACGCATAATCGTCAGGCATCACTTTAGTTTACAAGCAGTTTTGTAGATGATTTCACAAACGCAGTTGACATACAAAGCCTCAATTGTTATAATTACTGGAATGATCTAACTCGAGGTTGCCATAGGCAAATTTTAGAAATCAGTAGCGGATTCAGGGGGGCGGGGTGCGGACGCACCTCTTCCCTCAGGAATTTGACCCCCTGCCGAACCAAAGGATTACCATTTGTACTATTTTGAGATATCCAATTTTGGTGACGGACCCTAAAATTTTTCTAAAGGTGCCTTTGGCGCCAATATTTACTAATTTGGAAGGGGAGCGCACGCCGAAAAAATGCAATTTTTTGGTCGAAAGTTTCCAAAAAGTGCATAAAAACGCCTTTTGTTGGCCTGTTTTTTTAAAAATTTGCCTGCGGCGCAAAAATTTGGTCAAACTAGGGTCTTTATAGTCATTTAAGAGAGCTGAGAAAATCAATTTGGTCGACCTTAAAAAAAAGTCGAGAAAAGTTTCAAAACTTTTTTGAAACCCCCCCCCCCCGAGAGAAATTCCTAGACCCGCGCCTGTTAGAAATGGTAGAAAAACTAAGCATTTCAAAGATTTAAGTTTAAAAACCAAACAGAACAAATAAACTTATCATGTAATTTTTTTTTTCAAGTCGAGCATGAGCGGATCTAAGACTTTCTCGAGGGGCTGATTTTTAAAATTATTCAAAATTTTATCGACCATTTTTATAAAGGTCGACCAAAATGCTTTTCCAAATCCCCCCCTAAATCCGCTGGTGAAATAGAGTGCTACTGGCCAGCCGCAATGGTTGAACCTTTACCAGAAAGTCATAACGACCTAACTATAGGGGAGATAGAGACTCTCCGACTTTCTCTGGTTGCAAAGGATCGAAGGAATAGTAAAGGCAAGAAACGCGTCAAAAATGCGCCACCGGATAAATATGTTAACAAAAAAAAGTAAAAATTAAACAAGACTGCTCGTATCAGGGCGAAGCCCTGAATGTTCCGACTGCCTTTTAAGGTCTATGGAGCAGAAATAGCATGAAAAAACTAAATGTAATAAAAATTAAATGATAAATATACACGCCATATAAAGTACAAAGTGAAAAATTTTGCTCTTAGTAACAAGCCAATTATGGCAAATCATCTTTCTTCAACCAATTTTAACAATTTCCTTAGTCGGAATAAATCTCCGCGAAATACAAAAATGATCACAGGTGAAATATCTTTTCAAATTTAAGCTCAAGTTATCATTACTATTTGAATGATGACAAAAATTCCGTCAAAAATGGCTAGTTAAAAAGTCGAAATCTGTCTGACGAAAAAAACCCACCCGAGCACAAGTATTCCGTTATTTTCGTTAGAAAGTCGGAAGAAAAAAAACTTTCACAAGGAAAGAATAGTAGCCTATAAATGAAATAAAAGGAAACTCTAAAAAACTTAAGTCTCAATCAATGTATAAATCATTAATATTTGGATCAGTGTTGAATGATATCAAATCTACAAAAAATAACAGTGTTTTGATTTACTGGGTTGACAAAAAAAATTTGTAGAACTTGTCTGGGTTAACTAGGTTTTTAAACTTTTATGAAAAAAGACTAATTAAATGGTGTACAGTAGCGTGCCGAGGGGGGTTGAGAAGGGGAGGGGAGGGGAGATTTACTGGGGTCGCAACTTTCCCCTATCCTCTCAATTCTGGATGCCAAGTGTTTTCAAAATGACTAATTTTGAGGAACACGCGCTGAAAAAAGCGCATTTTTTTTGGTCAAATTTTTCCAAAAAAGCCTAAAAACGCTTTTTTGAATTGTTTTTTGAAAAATTTGCCTGCGGCGGGGAAAGCTAGCAAAAAAAGGGTCAAACTAAAAAAATATCGGTAAAATTTTCGAAAAACCGCTTGCCCCCCCCCCCCCCCCCAAACCCCATCCACATAGAAAAATTAATTGCGCACGCCACTTCAGGTGTAGATTGATCTGGATCTGGTGTAAAATGATCAAAGAATAAGCTTGACAGAAAGATGCTACATAACAAAGCACTGCCATTCAAAATAATCACACTAAAAAACACTATCTTCTAGAATATAGTTTTGATTATTATTTAAAAAATGGTTTTTTGATTTTAGAAGTGTGAAACTAATGTGAATTTTTGTCACTTTCTTTGATACCAAGCTATGCAGATAAAAAAACATTTTATATCATCTGCAAAGCGAAAAAATATAAAGTCATCGATAACAAATTGGTATCAAGGATAACCGGTTACTCTGCAAGTGGCACAGAATAGTCTTAGAAAATGCAACAGTTTTTTCAAAATGTTCTCGTTTTTTTTCGGCGTGGTGTGATGAAATAAGCTGATTAAAAACATGGAATTAGGTATATTCGACAGTCATATTAGAATAAGCTAATTGAAAAACAATTTTTGTGGAAAAGTTACTTGTAAAATGAAAAAATTTTCCAAATTTTTTTTTCGAGTTTTGCAATTTTTCAAGTTTTGCGGTTTTTACGTTTTAAATTAAGCTATTGTAAGCTTTCAAGCGGTCAACACTGCCGGCTCGTTTTATTCGCTCGAAATAAGACAAAAAACCAAAAAACTGAAACCAGTTTTTCTCGAAACACACCCGAATACAAAGTTCCTCCCCATTTTCAATGGTCGGATCAGAAAGAAATACACTGCCCTGGAGAACACAGGAAGTCACGGGTTAAACGAAATACAGGAAAAAATTTCAATTTTTGCGATTTAAAGAGTAAAAAAACGAACAATCAAAACTATGTTTAAATATCAAACCAGTCTTAGAGGTTTACGAAATTATTTTTTCAAATTAGTGTCGTTTTTTTGGCGTGGTGTGATAAAGGAATCTGAGCGAAAAAGTAGAGCTAATACGCTCTTGCGAGTCATAGTAAAATTGCAAATTAGAAAACAATTTTTGAGGAAAAATAACAAGAAAAACAAAAAAAGCAAAAAGAAAATATTTTTTTTAAATAAATTTTCCAAATTTTTTCGCAAATTTTTGAAACTTTTGATTCCTAAGATGAGGTTATAAACTCCAAAAACTAACTTCAGTTTAGTAAAATTTAATTTTCAAGGCTTAAATTAAGCATAATTAAGCTAATGTAAGCCTGCTCACTCGCCCGAAAAGACACCAAGAAATTAAAAATACCGAACCGGTTTTTCTCAACAGAGGGAAAACTTTTTTTGAAGTTTATTAATGTCGTTCGAAACACGAATGAAAGGGCTTCAATATGATTTTTCACTCAACTCAGTCCAATGATAATTTGCGGTAGCTGATTTTAAGTGGAAAACAAAAAGAAACTAAAACATTATGAGGCCAAACTGTGAATTTTGTGAATTGTGAACAGATTCCACAGCAAGGACGCTTACTTTGTACTTATTTTGTTCTTTGATCCTTCCGACAAAATTTTAACATCTTTAAAGAGTTGCCTCTGGAATCTACGAACAAACAGACACAAAAAAGTGCGCCTATCATGTGCACAGTTTGAACTCGTAATGAATAACCCCGAATACAAAGTTCCTTCCCATTTTTAAAGGGCGGAACAAAAACGAGATGAAAAAAATGAACAAATTGTTTTGATATGACTTTCAATTTTTCATCAAATCATCCTGCCAATGTTTATATGATTAGAGATATGGACTACGAAGAAACAAATTTGTCGAAAAGTTAGAACTGTTTGATGACACTTTTGTAGGGCTTTTTTTCAATGAGTTTTACAGAAATGAGATTTCCAATAGAGTTAACCGCATGTAAGATATTTTATCATTGACAAACGAAGGGTCTTTTTCTAGTTAGTTTAAATATGGTTGCACAGCATCGTTCTCGAATTAGAAGACTTTTGAACTCTATTCGAGAATGATGACTGGGACGGTGTAGTAGTTGATTCAATAGTTGTTCCGACCATTGAAAATGGGGAGGAACTTTGTATTCGGGTGTGTTTAAGTTTTGTTTTCTTGCTGTTTGTTTTTTTCACGCAAAACCAGGTACCACAAATAATGATAGGACTGGGTTGAACATTCAAGCCCTTTCAGTCGTGATTCGAAAAGTAAAAAATTTCAAAAACTTTTTCCCAGTGTTGAGAAAAATCGGTTTGAATTTTTTGATTTTTCGTTTTGTTTCGTGCGGATAAAGCGAGCGAGCAGTCATTTTTTAATTGTTGAAAAGCTTACAATAGCTTATTTCAAAACGTAAATAATTAGTTTTATTTGGGTAGCGTTAAATTGAATTACTATTTTAGCACCTTTTGGAATCAAAGTTTTCAAAAATTCAAAAAAAAGCAAACAACTTCAAAAAACTGCAGTAGGAGTAATTAATTTTCAATTCATTTATTTCCGTTCATTTGTCGAATACACCTAATCCACAGTTTTCGTTCAGTTGCTTTGATCACACATGCCGGAAAAAAATCAATACTTTGAAAAAACGTTATTTTTTCTTTAAGACTAAGGTAGGAACATACTGTGCTACTTGCTCAGTAACTGGCTATCCTTGTTTCATTTTTTGATTCGAGTTAAGTATCTTTTTAAAGTTTATGAAAAACATCAGATATTAAAGAAAAAACAGTAGATTTAACTGAATCAATTAGAGAAAAAAGTTTCGTTTTGGTTCCAGTCGCATTAAAAACAGCAACATCAGATCCTCCTCCTCTGCTCACACCCACTGGCCTATTAATTGTTGTCCAAGCCAATTTACAACCTCAGGAGTAACATCCCTCACAGATTCCTCGATGCCAGGGAGAACAGGAATGAAAACATTTAATTGCACTGCTTTCATTTCCTTAACCTTTGGAAGTTGACGTTGCCGCTTTGTTGTTGAGGTTTTGTTGTCACATCCTACGTTTTAAATAAAACTACTTAAAGAGTTTGTCACAAGAATTAAGCTTACAGATAACATTAAGTGGCCACCATATGCAGCAAATTTAATAAGGAACCCTCAATTTTATACACGTAAAAAATACTCGGTAACAAAAAGAAAAAATGCTTGGCAAGTTTTTTCATTGCCGATTCAAGGGATGACTGTAAGACAATCCTAAACGTTAGAAATCACTTTTAATATTTTTAATCAGTTCTAGATTGCAGATGATTTCTTAAGTCCAGGTGACATAGAAAGCCTCAGAGTTTTGAAATATTACAAGACTTCAACTTGGGGGCTACTAAATGGTCATTTTTGAAGGCTGGAAAAACTAGGAAAACAAAAAACCAATATTGAAAAACAAAGAATAACAAACGGAAACCTCTAATGAATTTTTTTTTCCTGTGCAAATACTGATAGATGAATTATCACCTGAAAGTCAAGAAACCTGTCTTCAGGGGATATGGGGTCTCTTCTACCTTTTGTGGGTGCGATGGTTCAAAATAACAGTAGTAGAAACAAAAACCAATTCAAAAACGTGGCACCGGAGAAAGTTGTTTTCATAAAAGATTTTTGGTTAACGTTTTTTAAAATAGTTTTACAAAGACAGAATAGTAGATCAAACCAAAATTCTTCGACAGGGACAGAATAGAAGCTCAAAAAGATCAAACACTCATCGTTTAAACGATAATTTTTTGATTGTTGAAACACCCATCGTTAACCCATCGTTAAGACACCAGACAAATAAAGAACACTATTTAAGATCATTTATCCACGAGGGATAGGACCAACATACGAGCTGTACAGCTCATCACGGCGAACCGCTGTTGTGCCCCTGCTTAAGAACTACATGCAATTTTTTTGGTTATTTTTCTGGGCTGGGTAATCACCCTCAAGCAACGAGCACGCATCATGGTGGGCCTCGAACATCCGACCTTTCGATTGAGAGGCGGAGACGTTAACCACTTCACCACTGCTCCCCTTGGATCTTGGATCTAAAGGATCTAAGTAATGTACCTAAAAAAGAACAAAAATTGACCAATTAGTAGGAGAAACCAATTAAACGCCTGAGGAACTGCAGCAATAAAAAAAAGATCAAACACTCAACTTCAAATATCTCCAGACAAACAAAAAAATAAGGCTCTAAAGTAATACAGAAAAATGGTCAAAATGGATCCAAAAAAACGTCAACGCATACGAATCTTCAGCTTAACTGTCCAATTGCTGACGAAAAAAAGAAAAATATGCTTATCGTTAAAACACTCATCATTACCACACTATTTCAAGACAGACAAAAGGCGATATCTCTAGACAAACAAAACATCCTGAAAACAAAGGAGAAAAATGATCAAAAACGGACACGAAAAAAAATGTCTTCGCATACCAAACTTCAGCTTAACTGCCCGATAGTTCATGAAACAGTAGTATATTTTGTCCTGAACTAACAAGTTTCATCCCTTACTTCTGTCCACTTAGTAGAAGAACCCAATTAGACGCCCAGGGAATAGGAATGACAAAGAAAAATTACAGATTCATCGTTAAAGCATTCACCATTAGCACACTATCTCTAGACAAACAAAAATGCGCGTTTTTCTGAGTGCAAAAATGGATGGTTGAACTATCACCTTAAAGTCAGAAAAACTATATCTAAAGCATGTGCAGTCTCTCCTACCTTCTCTATGTGCGAAGATTCAAAAAAAAAGTAGTAGTAGTAAAGAAAAATATAATTTGAAATGTGGCCGCCCTCGGATAAAGATGTTATCAAAAAAAAAACTCAAACGAAAGCAACTCCGTAATTCTCAGATCCAAAACTGATTTTTAAAATATTATCTCAGACAAACAAAAAATTGATGCACCAAAAGAAAAAAAAGTGCTCAGAACACCTCTACGAATACAAATTCTTAGTATTTCATATAAAAGCAACCACAAAACTCGAAACAATTGAAAAATCTGTAATAGAATCAGCACTATGACTACACAGAAAGAACTACTCAGTTTTGATACTTGCCGCACACTTACAAGTCGTGGTGACCGAGTCGGCACCGCCGAAGTAAAATTTTTACTATTTCTAAAGAGCATGTTGATCCTACAGAGTTGCATGTCTTAACGTTTAAAGCTTTCTGAAAAATTTTACTGAAACAATTTTTTTTGCTATCTTCAGTTTTCAATTGCTTCGTTGAATGGCGAAAACAATTTCATTAACCTGAGTAAAACACTTTAGTGAGGTTAACCAGACCAGACCACTTTTTTCGTTTGTTTCAGGCCCTCGATCTTTTGTTTGTCTGATTATAGGGTCTCCACTTTTTGTCAGAAGTAACAACTAACCCAAAATTAACAAGTTTTTCAACCCCCTACCCTAGCCCACTTGGTAGAAAAAGCCAATTGGACGCCTAGGGAACTGCAATAAAAAAAGCAATCATCTTCAACTAAAACAAGTCAAAAACTAATACGAAAAAAAGCTGTATATACAAATTTTTAGTTTAATTGAGGCAAAATCAACAACAAAACTCAAAACATTTTGGAAGAATCTTTGGAAAAACAATTGGAAATGTCAAAAACTCATCGTTGAAAAGCTCATTCCTAAAAAAAACCCATCGTAACGAAATTAGTGGTCCTAAAACAAAGGAGAAAAAAGGTGAAAACGGATGCAAAAAAAAACGTCTCAGCATACTAATCGTCAGCTTAAACCAAATCAAATTGACCACAAAACTCGAAACAATTGGAAAATCTCGGACAGAAACAGAGCAACGACTGCACAAAGTCACGTTTCGAAGCTAGGAGCTTACTTGCGATTGGCAGACGAATCTCATTTGTGAACTTCACTGAGAAAAATTGTGATAAGATCCAGTTGCCTCCAAACGCTCAAAGAGCAATATGGTCAATTTATTTATTAATGAATTTTTTAAAAAAAAAATCAAACAAAACAAAAGAATGAATAGCGCACATTCAAGAACAAGTCACTCTGCTCAATTTTTGTTTTTTGTTGTTTCCGTGGTTCTTGCGTTTTTTGTTGGTTTATGCTGATTACCTAACGTTGTTTTTGCTACACGGTGCGTGTAACAAGTCGGCAGCGCAAAATATAAATTTTTGAATTTTTCTGAGGAGCCTGTTGATCCGGTAGAGATGCTTGTCTAAGCAATTAACACTTTCTCAAACTTTTTTGAGGCGATTTTTTTGATATTTGCTATCCTCTCATTCTTGTTGGTTCTTGAAATGCCACAAGCAAACTGATTAAATTTAAAACTACCTGTTTTTGGGGAAAACAGATCTCACTAAAAAACAAAAGAGAGAATTGCAGCAAAAAAACGAAAATCAAGAAAACGTTCGAATATGAAAAATTAACTAAATAAAAAGTTTCATGTGACATATTCATATTAGTTATTTTAATTGACCAGTTGCCTCAATTTTCCGAACAATTCACTGGAGCAATATGATCGACAAAGAGTTTTGCTAATTTTCACCAGCAACTCAGGGCTGTCGTTGAATCGTCCTTCGAAGTTCTCTGTGAATATAGTGCAGAACTTCTTGAAGACACTGCCTCAAAGTCTCGTCATCAGGCGCGACACAATCTAGAACGTTTTGACGAATTAAAGTAGTAAATACTATCCTAAAACTAACAAAATTCACCCCCTTACCATTGCCCATTTAGCCATTTAGTATAAAAAGCAAATTAGACGACTAGGAAACTGCAACCACCAAAAAAAGATCAAGCAATTATCGTAAAAATGACTAGCGAACACGGAGTAGCGACTAACGGCTTGTTTTTTTTACAGAAAAACTTAACAATTATATATAAGAAAAATATCCTTCCAGGCAAACAAAAAATCGAGACTCTAAAAGAAACGATATTGATGATCAAAAATGGGACGACAAAAACCTGTGCGCATACGAGGGTTCAGCTTAGCTCAAACGAGAGTCACCAAGAAAGTCAAAACAATAAGAAAAACCCCGACACTACCAGAAAAACAACAGCACAGAAAAAACTCCCTAACATTTGCAGCTTCAAGGTTAATGACCTAGGTAATATTGGGAAACTATTTTCTTTTGTAAACGCAAGACTAAAATGCAAGTTCACGACATGATCTTCTTAACTTAAACTTGGCTCACATATGCGGTACACAACGACACTTTTTTGCGGAAGAGACGATATACGTCGGCCCCTTTTTTCGAAGAAAGAAAACGATTCAAAGACGATACACGTGTATCGTGTATCGTCGTAAACAAAGAAGATACATAATACACAGAGACGATACACAGATACAAATCTTAGCGGCGTATTTATTTAGGGCTTAATACGTAACAAAAAAAATTGAACAGCAGATTGGAATCTACTGCCATCAAAACTATAACTAGCTGCACGAAATTTTGTGTCTGTTGTATCTATAACTCCTTGAACAAAAAGCTTATAGGTAAATACCCAAAAAAATCCAAGAAGGCATACAACCATTATGAGTTGGGATGGATCGCTAACTCATAGAGTAATTTCAGATAAGGTACACCGTCTGCTCGTCACGCTATCTTATTTTCGGCCGGATAAATTCGTGCAACTTCTTAGTCTAATACCGATCTTAATCTTACTCTTATATCTCTGAGTCTCAATAGATCTAGAGTATACTGGTTTTGTTAAGATTCGGTTTCTTGGAAAAGTCAACTAAATTGTAAGTTAAATTCAATATGCTCTGGTGCTGAAATTACAAGTAATTTCAGCACTTACAAATAAGTGGGTAGTTAGTTAGATGGAGTGTGATTGGTTAGTCTTTAATATTTTATAGGGATAAAATATCTAATTTATAACCAATAAAAATATATAGTTTGGATCAGGTTCCACCCATACGGGGCTTACAGAGTTTTTGTTCTTTCGACTTCTTTCTGTAGTGGAGGATGGATGATGATCGTTTGTATTTTGCGAGCATCATCTCTATTCCGTCCTTGGAGGTATGAACTCCAGGAAGCTGGAATAATCGAGGCTGTTTTGTCATTCAACGATGACTGAGACCGTCAACAAAATCAATCTGATTTCCAAATGGTTTGTTATGATCATCTGTTCTTGATCGGTGTGGAGAACTGTGTTTCGATCTGGATTGGGAATGGCGTGAAGCTCGAGTTTGGAGGGAATGATCTGTAACTCGGATCTGTATTTATACTTGAATATCGAGGTGAACATTGGTCTGTTTCAATGAAGTCCTTTGCTTCGGAGTCAAGTCGTACTTCAAATTCTTTGAGTTGTTGAGTTGTGGTTGTGAGCGGCATATCAGTTGTGTTCAGCCATTCTGTGGGTTATGTGTGATGAGGTCGTCTTAGCTGCTTGATGCTTCTTAGTCTTCTTGATTGTGTATGATCTATATTACTGCAATATATAATTTACATAAATAAATGTTTAGTTAGTTCTTCTTTTTAGTTATGATTTTTTATTAGTTTTTATTGCAAAAGCTTTTATTTTTAGTTCAGTTATTTTAAAAGAGTTACTCACACTTGCGTACCTCTTATGAAAAATAAGGAGTGTGTCACAAAGCGTGTGTTCTAGCACGGTGGGTTAGGCCGGCTATTAAGCATGCTCAGGACGTCGTCCTCTTCTGGTGGTTTAGGCCAGGAGTTAGGGTATGATTGCATGCTGGTTTTTTATGGGGTCCTGTTTCGTGTTAACTTTTTATGTCGTGTTTGTTACTGGTTTTTTCCTTTTGTTGTTTTGGTTGTGTCCTTTTCTCAAAAATCAATTTGTTTGGTTTGGGTTTGTCTTTCGACTTTTTGGTGTTTTATGCCTTCTTTTTCAGACTTATCAATAGTCTTCAAAAGAATAATTTATCGGTTCTTTAAGCTGGTTTAATCCGGTTTCGGTACCGTGGGTTTTCTTTTCTTAGTCATGCTGTTAGTTTGTGGTTTATGGTGTATAGTAGCTGCGTTGGTTAGTTGGGATTATTATATGATTCCTTTCTAACCGGGTTGAAAGAAAGTTTGAAACTTGTTATTACTAGTTTGAGTTGTTATTAGTGAAAGTTAAAACTTGAAATCATTATTTTAAGCATTCGTCGTGGGCGAGCTGTGCGAGTGTGGATAGAATTTGTGTGCGAGTGAATTGATTAAAAAGTTAGTACTGTTGGCATTTGTATACATTTTAAATTTACTGCTTTGTGGGGATTGATATTATTAAATAATTTTCATTGTATTTAGATTTACTACATTGGAGAAAAGAATTTATACATTGAATTAATACTGTGGAGAAGAAATTTTAATGCATCATTTATTGCGGTTTGTTAATAAGAGTTTATAATTTTGAAGAGTTTGCAATTTTTTTTTCTGTTTGTAGATGATGGTGATCTAAAGACTAAAGGAAAAACATTTAATAAGAAATGGTTAAGTTTGTTTTGAACTTATTAGTGCTAAATTATTTAATTCATACTTACTTAGTCATCGGGGAAGAAGCCACGATGGAAAATACCGTGTTTTGAACCTGATGTGGTTAGTAATTTTGCTAATATGCGAATGATATTTTCAGATTCGAGCAGTGGCCAAGGCAATTCAAGTGCTTTGATGGTGTTTAGTTCTGCAGTGCCAATGGAAAACTCGTAATTGGTGTGTTGGATGAAGTAAAAAAGTTTGTGGTTATATCTAGTATTGTGAATGAATTCTAATATTAGGATTTCTACAGGTTGAATATATTCATGCCGGACAATGAGGGGTCGGGATTCTTCTACAATAAAGGTCTTGGTGAGTGGACAAAATATATACATTTATTTTATTGGGTCGTAATTTCTGAGGATGCCTTGGAAGTTACAATTTTTAATGCAGTAGGTGAATTTTAGAAAAAATGGTGATGTGTACTTAGAATTAATGAATTGAAATCGATGGTGGGGTTGTCGTGATGGTGTGTGTAAATGAAAGTGATTTTCCATGAGTGTATAGTAAGTGTAAGTATGCGTTTGTTTAGTTCTCAACAGATGTCGTGCGAACAGTGGAGATTGCGTTCTTTTGGAGTGGGGAAGTGGAAGGTTAGTGAAAAAGCTTATCGGAAAATGATTCATAAGCTTGGATGTCGATTAGTGCTTCGGAAATGATGTGATTGTGCTTTTTATCCATTCAGCTTAGTAAAAAGATGTAGGGTGTTTGGGTGGGTTAGTTAGTGGAATACAAAGTGGGTTTGAGAAATAATAAAATGATGTCCAGTGGAATGTGGGGATTAGTACATGCTCATCGACATAGTGGGGTTGTTCAGTGTGAGGGTTGGAGTGACTAATAGTATATTGGGGAAAGAGGGGCAAGAAAATTTGGAGAAACTCGGGAGTATTAGTATGATCAGGGTGATTTACATAATCGCGGGCTGTTCCGGGTTTGGAGGGGAACGGGTGATTAGGGAATTTTCTTTTGAATGTTCTATATGCACGGTTGGTAGTGGATGATGATTGGATTGATATTGAGGATCGGGCTAAAGAAGGGGTATAATCTGAAGAGGGTGTAGGAGTAGGTGCGTTTTGATGTTATGGTTGACGATAATTGGTGAATGGTTAGGGTGTGAGGGTGTTGTATTCGTTGTTGTAGTGTTATTAGGTTATTTAGTTCAGATGAGGTTTGCGTGGTTTCTGGGGAATAGTTGTTGGATCGCTCATTGGTAAAGGGGGAGTATGTCGGGGTTACTTGGGAAATACGAGAGATGGTAGAGGGTGAATCAATTTGGGATTGGGAGTGATTGGGTCGAAAGGGGGTTTGAGAAAATGTCTGAATTATTAAATTGGGAAATTGTATTAAAAACTAAGATATCTGAGTTAGCGTCAGAATCCATATCGGATGATGTGTTAATATGGGGTGATTCAGTTGGCGGGAAAGCAAAAAGTGTGATGATGGGAATTGGGTTCTGGAGATTGGCTGGATGGGAAATTGAACGGTAGAGGGATCCAATTTGTCGGCTCATCGTGGGCTAAAACAAATATTGTTTTGAGATTGAAATGTTGTTGTATGTGGTTGTTCGATTATTTGTTCATATGTATCGTCATTTTGAGATTGTTGTGTTACAATGTGGTGAATTGGGCTTTGTATATGATTTGGTCTTGCATTTGCAATATTTACTAGTGCTAAATTTCTGAAATTTCGTGGTACTAGTGATAATGGATGATTTCTATTTAGACTTGGTAGTTGTGGTGCTGTGGGTAATGTGTTTGTGTTGTGTTGTGATTTGTCATATGTGTGTGGTGTAGTTGATAATTTTGTATTGTATTCTTTTATTTGTGCATCTAAAAGTACTTTTTTTATAGATAGGGAAAGTATTCCAAAAATCCTGCAAAAAGTATTCGTGCTACGCTTGCTTGTCTATTGACTTGTGTGTGGATTGCGCATGTGTTATAAATGCCGTTTAATAGAGAAAAAATAAATCCAATAAAGTTAAACATTGCGTATAATATAGTCAATCTTTCTAAGATGTAATAGGGCCATCCTAGAAAGGATAAAAGTTTTTGAAATTTACAAAAGTAAAAATATTGATTGGTAATATATCTTGTGGTCAATATTTTTGCCATTTAGATAAAAATAATCTTTAAATTTTTAAAATATCCGCTGTAATCTTGTGTGTAAAAATCTGAAAATCCTGCTGTTTCTGCAAGTTTACGTAAATTTTGATCTATTGATTGTCGTTGTATAGTGTCCATTTTCGAAAGTAGTTGATGAA